GATGGCACAAGTAAGACAATTTGGTAAGTCATTAATATATACGAGAAATAACAATGGTCCCAAATTGCTCCCCTGCGGAACACCACAGTCCACAGGTAACTGGATTTGAACTTGACAAATGGTCATTTACATGGCATTTTTGAGTTCTATTGGTAAGATACGACTCAAACCATTTAAGACTATTCAAGTCGACTCCATAATTTTCCAACTTTTTTTAAATAATATTATAATCAATGGTGTCGAATGCTTTCTTTAAATCTATGAAAACAACTCCATTAATCAGACCATTGTCAATGTTCACAGACCAGCTATTTGTGGCTTCGCTAATCCATTAGAGTGCTATGTAACGATCGAAATCCCGATTGACAGGTGGTCAAAAGATTATGATTATTCAAATATTCGTAGAGTTGTTCATAAACAATTTTCTCCAAAATTTTAGCAATGACAGGAATGACAGATATGGGGCGATAATTACTAGGTCTAGGATCATTCCTAACACCGCTTTTGTACACTGGTGAAACCCTGCTCTCTTTCCATTCGTGCGGAAATATTCCCGTTTGATAGATGCTGTAAATATTGCCGTTAGGGAAGGTGCAACAACATCATCAGCTATCCTAAGTAATTTACTGGGTATCTTATCAAAGCCAACTGATTTTTTTTCATCCATTTTTTGTCAATAACTTATAAACTGTATCAACAGAGGGAGTCTTCAAAGAAAACATGCTATTAGTTGGCTTGAGATCATAATACTCTGGGCCATTTTCTGTTAAAACGATGTCAGAAGCAAGATTGCTACCAACAGTAGAGAAATAGTTATTGAATGCTTCTGATATCTCGATGGTGAGGTAATAACTTGCTCTCCCAACCTAATTTCTGATAATTTTTTAGTTTTGCTTGAATGTTTTGAACTAACTTCATTAATTAGCTTCCATGTCTTCCTCATATTGCCTTTATGTAGCTCAAGGTTTGTGGTAAAATATGATGTCTTGGCTTTTTTAATTTCATTATTAACTTGATTACGAGACTGTTTATATTCATGCCAAGCATGGGGGTCCTGTGAAGAAATAACTTTCTTTTTCAAATAGTCTCTTTTAAACATTTGACGTTTCAAATCATTTGTAATCCACGAGGACCTCTTTTTACCAATACGCCTTGATCTACATGGGGCGTGCTTATTAATAGTTCCATTAACATGCTTTTCCAGGTAGTCCACATCTCATTCGGATCTTCAGAACAATGTACATTATTCCATTGTTTTAGTTCTAAATCTCTTAGAAAATTCTCTCTATTGAAGTTTTTTAATGATCTAACTTCGACAGTTCTGGCATCATTACGTTAGTATAATGAGCCTTCCGGACCATATAAACTAGTGAATGATCACTTATTGAAAGATGTACGTAGAACACCGGAAATCACAACATTAACTGGCGAATTAGTAATGCAAAGATCTATGAGAGTACTGGATATTCTACAGATATTCTACACTTTACATATGTTCTTGTAAAAAAATTTGTTTGAAATGTTAGTTATCTTAATAAATAGTGAGTACATTTTAAATTGCAGGTTTGTACCAGGTCAAGTACGCGGCAATAAAAATTGCAGTACTATATTGTGGACAACTGAAAATCTAAAATGATCGCACCCTGCTGTAAATGATTATAATCTGCTTATTTGTATACGTTTGTTTTACGTTCTCTCAACAAAAAGCGAAACGGAATGGTATATTACTTTAGCATCTCCCCGAAGCCTTTTTTCATGATATACTAAAGGTTATTTTCTTTATCTTACAGATATTAATGAATGTCTAACTAATCCATGCCATACTGATGGTACTTGCTCCAACACTGCTGGCACTTTCCAATGCGCGTGTAATCAAGGATATTCTGGAAATGGCTTCGTTTGTCTTAGTATGTATACTTTATATTATAGCTTGCTACAGTAACTTGAAATAACCAGCAAGTAGGCTCTTGCGGCAAAATTTCGTGTTGTGGAAGAAAGTGTAGTTCATTATTCGTTCTACTGAGTACTTGTTCGTTTCAAGTTTCGTCCAGATGTGAAGCATGGGCTCATGTGATACATGGGCGCAAAGCAATTCAATCTCGTAGTCAGAGAATGCCAACTTGCGAACGGGAACGCTCTGTAGTCTGTTCACGAGTTGACTACAAAATCATGGTCTATAAATGTCACGGTTGTTTCTTTAATTTACTGATTCACTTCGGCACTTTCCATCTAAATGTTATAATAGATCAATTTTCAACCATTGAAAATAAGCAAACAATCAAACCCCCTGATGACTAAATCATCACTTAATGCATGTAAATAGTTGACTGTTATTTAACAAATATAAAACATTTTCCGTGTTGATATACATTTATATCAACACGAGTGGAATGGGGAAAACGAGAAATTGTATGGAAACACGATGCCTGAAGGGCGGAGTGTTTTCATACAATTTCGAGTTTTCCCAACTTCCACGAGTGTTGATATAACTATATATCAACACGGAAAAAATGTTTTATATTTTTTTATAATATAGCAATGTCAAAAGCCCGAAGGATAAGAAAAATTTCCGTGTTTACAAGCGGCGGAAAATTTCCCGTGTTGACATTGAGTTATATCAACACGGCTCTTAGCCAATCAGCGTTCAGAATTTACAAATGCTATATTATAATTAACAAATATAAAACATTTTCCGTGTTGATATACAGTTATATCAACACGAGTGGAAATTGGGAAACCGAGAAATTGTGTGGAAACACGACGCCCGAAGGGCGGAGTGTTTTCACGCAATTTCGAGTTTTCCCAACTTCCACGAGTGTTGATATAACGATATATCAACACGGAAAAATTGTTTTATATTTGTTTTATAATATAGCAATGTCAAAAGCCCGAAGAATAAGAAAAAATTCCGCGTTTACAAGCGGCGGAAAATTTCCCGTGTTGACATGGAGTTATATCAACATGGCTCTTAGCCAATCAGCGTTCAGAATTTACAAATGCTATATTATAATGTAATATAATATATCTTCAATGTAAATAACTATGGTTACCGCGTAGACACTGAACTTAAAAATAAAGCTGGATTGTGCTTACTATTAAATATAGCTAGGTTTCAACAGAAATGGTCAACTTCAGAAATACTGACAATAACAGAAGAAAATAAATTTTTTCCTTTGAATACAAAAGTTGAAAAAGAATAAACATTTGATTTTCTCACTCTGATAACTGCAGTTTGACCAGCATCTGCTGCACGATATTGCTTTGTGAATCATATCAATAGGAATTTAGTACTTTGTAATGACTAAGTAATGTCATGATTTACTTCACGGTTCACAAAAGAAAAGTCTGTTGTGGATAAAGGGTTAATCGTTTTTTAGTAAAATCTTTTTTAATAATTCAATATATTCGTAAATTTGAAACCAATGTTTCGGCATGGCAAATAGATTCCTTGTAATGCCCCGTTGGATTGTACATGAGAGAGTACCTGTGGAATTCAAAGTTTTGTACAAGTTTTCCAAATGGGCTCGCAGTAATTGGCAAACGCTGTTGCGGATTCCCTGCCACTGTAATATGTACAAGGCGAATTAAATAAATAAAAAAAATAAAAAAACATTTTCCGGACTAACATAAGCACAGTCTAAAAATATTTTCCGCACTAACATAAGCATATTCAAAATTTTTCGACCAAATAAGCAAAGCTTGCAATTTTTCACTACAAACATAACAACAGCTTTAAAATTGTTAAAATTGCGAACCATTTCATAACTTTGAGCAACTTCGACCATGTTTTTATCCCAAACTTTGACCACATTTGTCCGAGTTTTACCTTCAATTTTAAGCAAATATCAGTTCCATTTTGACCAACGTTTGAATTATTGGAGGGGGGGGGGGTTACACCCCACCCCCCTATAGCGACGTCCCTGATAATGCCGCTGTGAGTCTTCAATATCTATAACTTTAATCTTTATCGTATACTAAAATTGACATTTTAGAAGTTTCACCAAATGATACTGGAGGCAAACAACCTATCTATCAATGGAAACTTTAAAAGGCTTATAAAAACTCATTACATACATTAAGTAATTCTATGGGCGAGACTTCGTGCGCATATACAGTTTATGAGTTATGTATATATATCCCTGATAAAACGTGGGGACACTTTATACCTGAATAATAAATACTTTTGCTAAACCTTGTCGGCTATCATTCCTTTCTATTGAAGGGGCGAGGGTGAATGGCGAGACAATTATATAGGAAATGCTGTGCAATATTTTGACTTCAACATACAGGTACTCATTTAGACAAAAAAGGAAATGCATGCAGTTGTGGATTGACGATTGTCGTATAATTGTGCACTGTCGATCCCAAACAATTTTTTACATTAACACTCCTTCCTACCTGGTGTTTAATATAAACGATAACTTTTTAATATCTAGAGCACTATGTTTATAAACGGTTTTAGAATAATAGAATGGGCATTCAACGTCTATTTGGCTAGTGTCCAAATGTGTAACGTTTGCTGTGAGACCACCAAGGTGTACGACCTACACAGTCGCTTTTGAGACCTGTATAGTATTTAACAAGTAAATAAATGCAAAGTAAATACCGTTTCCAAATGACAACAATTCAATGGCATACATGTATTATAAGAATATTATAAATATCTGAACCAGAGGAAGAACAGAAACGTATGCGCGAAATGAAACTGCGCTCGAACTCCCAGAATAAAAGAGCAAATATTTCCAAGCGTACGATCATACGTTTTCATTGCTTGATTTCCTGACTTGTCTGTTGCTATATGAATCTGCAGTTTAGCATGTTTGTATAATTGAAAAGCAAACAGAAACCAAATTTAGCAAGTATTTTGAAGTAATTATGATTCTCAAAGATGATAGTACAGAACAGTCATTCCTTGCAATCGAAGTGTGAAGTGCCGAAGTGGAAATATGTACTATGAGATTTTTTCCTCATCCTCTTAAGGCGCGTTTCTTTTGTAAATCTAGATTTGGATTTTTAGGATTCGGATCTTTTGGATTCGTTAAACAAATGGAACGAATTGTGAGAATCGGAATTCGCCTGCTGTTTTCCCGCCATTTTTACAATAAGTTTTCTGTCCCACTATACGTTTCGGTCGGATCAAGGTACATGCTACAAGGCCAGAAGCTCAAAAGGAACGTTGAATCCTAATCAAGTTTCAGATTGAATCAATGAATCCGAAAAATCCATATGTTGAGGTGGACTCATCAGATTCGAATCTGTGGCAATTAATACACCAGGCGGAAATCTTAGTTCAAAGATAAAGAACAGAGCCCAGCAAATAACTTTAAAGCCAAACATAATAAAAGTTAAAGCTAGATTACAGTCCATTACATACAAGGCCAGAAGCTCAAAAGGAACGTTGAAGCCTAATCAAGTTTCAGATTGAATCCGAAAAATACATATGTTGAGGTGGACTCATCAGATTCGAATCTATTTAAGATTTTGTCAAATGAAACTGAAAATCGATAATCGGATTTGAAAATTCAAATCTGGATTGCACTAAAGGAACGCTCCCTACGATTATCCATTTTCTATGGGTCACGTGACCAGCTCCGACCAGGGTTTTTTCTTCATAAGAGGGAAGAGCCTGGGAACGAGGTTGGCTGCATTTAACGATATTTAACTGCATTTAACGATATCTATGTTCGCACAGTATCGGACAAATACGTAAATTCGTTCAGTTCCATTTGTTACACAGGAATTCCTAGGGTTAGCTGTGTTTGAATTTGTCCAGTTTCATGGGTCCAATGTGAACGCATAAGGTGATAGTCGTGAAATTGTGAGTATGGTTCAGAATTCGTTCAGTCCGGTGTGAACGAGGGTCGATTGGGTCATAATCATACCGATCATGTCCAAAAGTAAATATTATAGAATCTATTAAATATTTTATTAAAATTTAATCATTAATTTTGTTCAATTTTAAGGCTGTGCTTGGAAACGTTCCAACTCGTCATTTTTATTTTCCCTACGCAACAAAGACAACCTTGCTCCATTTATTGCCAACATCAAGGAAGGTCAGGAGCAGTATGCAATCATGTGCAGCTCTGGTTATGGACCATTCTTCGGTGCAGGTTATGATCTGATTATTTGTAACAATCCTCAAGTTAACCAATCACACAGCAATTTTGGACGCACATATCAACTTCCCCCTGGTTATGGTTATAGCAAAGCAAATAACCTTCTTGCTGGTCAGTACCAATTCTTAACGACAGAAATTGAAGTCTTCAACTGAAAAGTGCCTTTGTTTACTTACTTCAACGAAAAATAACATTACATTGATTACGAACGCTTTTAGCAATCACTTTTGGACAGTGATTTTGCAATGTTATAAAATTAAAATTGGTCGTTCGCCTCAACAGTAGCAGTTACTGGAGTCAACAAATGAAAGGCCTCGAAGAAAACTTGTGAAAAATCGATTGTTATACAGCCGACGGTAATCAATGATCTAATCAGCATATAGCCTAGGTAAATGTTCGAAAATTGGAACAACATTTAATTTTCGATCGACCACTTTAAATCGGATTGCATCTGACCATTTTTCATCACAATGACATAAGAACGGTGTCATTTGGCAGCTAAAACCTATCTTTATCATTTCTCGAAAAGTAAATCTATAAGCTTAGTATCTATAACGCACGATAACATGCTGAAATTGTTTTACCTTTTTTGATACACCCTGCACTATACATGTTGAAGGGTTTTCGAGATTTCCATCTACAAAAAAACCATTCAACATTTAATACTGACTGAGATGCCTGAAATCCTGATATTTACCCATATACCTAGATGGAAATCTCGAGTGTAAATTTTATACGTTTATACACCAAACCAGGAGCAGCTGCAAAAAATGGAACTATATAGACCCTCTGGCAGGAATCAAACCTGCGACCCTGCGATTCCGGTGCAGCGCTCTAACCAACTGAGCTACAGAATGCGCTACAGAAGAGCTACAGAATCCACTTGTCGAGTTTTAACCACAAGTTCATGTATACAGTACATACTACGTAATGACAGTGTAAGGCAAAAACCCTTCAAGATTTAGTATCGAGTGAGGTGTCCATGCACAATCCGCATTATATATGTACCTTTTTTCCTTGATCATGATATAGTCGTAATCAATTACTTGTAAGCTTTCTCAGTAATTCTTGTATATGTACATATTCAATGTATCATGAACATGGCCGCCGAGAGGTTCAACGTTGAGCCCGGGCCAAAACTTTTCAAGGACTTGTTATGATGTCATAATTGTAAAAGGGGAGAAGCGTGTTTTACCATATATCACAATTTATTACATTTTTGTCGGACACCAGCCTCGTACCCAGGCGCTATGTGTTGTTCTATGGCTTGCGCGGCCTTTGCGTGGGCCGCGTGGATTAATTTGATCGATATTCCGTTTTTCTCCCTCGCGTGCCGTCCCACGTGCGCTTAAAATGACGTAAACAAAACCAAAGCGCCTGGGTACGAGGCAGGTCTGACACTTCGTTGCTTTGGGGGCCTCTTTTGATTTTGGGGCTCGGGGGCCCCCAACCCCTTTCGGCGGCCCTGATTATAAACTATTGCTTTGAACTGATTTATGCTATACAGATCGTGTAAATATTTTTTCAAAAACTATTATGCTTGGCCATAATCTTGTTTAATCCATGTCTTGGATTGCTCAAGATGTTTCGTTCAGATATTGTTCGTTTTAAAAAGTGCCGTATTACTCCCAATATAAGATGGGCTTCCACGCAGACGCGCTTACATATGACGGGCGATTGCATACGAAAATAATTTTGTTTTCGTAAGTGTACTCTAAACTATACAGTGAAATAACATTCCCTTGTCAAATCAACGTAACATCATTGAAAGCATTTTCCCTTTTCAATTACTCAATTTTAACCTCTTGGCTTATTTACGCCGGGGGGGGGGGGCTTATGTATTCTATGGACTGAGGGTCAGTGAATATGCTGCGCTGGTGGAGGTTTGGGATAAAACGCGGAACCGGAATGCGGATTCCGTAAGCGGATTCCGGATGCGGATTCCGCATTTGAGGATAAAACGCGGATTCCGGATGCGGATTCCGCAAATGAGGATAAAACGCGGAATCCGCAAATGAGGATAAAACGCGGATTCCGCATTTGAGGATAAAACGCGGATTCCGGAAGTGGATTCCACAAATGAGGATAAAACGCGGAATTGCGCAAAAAAGGACGAGAAGAAGAATAGCGTATAAAAAACTTAAATGATTACTTTTTAAGGTCACAACCACTAAAAAGCGATTGGCTAAAGTTACCTAGTTACCCTAAGCCTAACTGTTGAAGTCATACATGCATGCATTAGTGTTGGGAGGCGGGGACTGTGACTTTTTGGACTATTTCTTAAAATTATGGAGGGAGGTGGAAAATCGTATTTATCAAGAGCGTCGTCATTTTTATCTAAGTTTCTTTGTTAATGCTAGTAATATTCGGGCTTTGATGGCGCAGG